TATATATATAAAGCACATGCACAGTGTCTTAATGATCTTATTTACTTTTGTTTCTAAAGTGTGTGCCGTCATGGATCCTGGGAATGTACCAATGAAGGCTGCCCCGGTGAGACTGATGTCTAGCAATTTTTACACATTTTGCATTTGATTCATTTCCTGTATTGCTAATTTCTGTGTTTCAACCGTTTTATCTGCATGCAGGGGAGTGCTTAGTTGTTGGCCAGTCTCACTTCAAGTCCTTCGACAACAAATTTTTTACCTTCATCGGCCACTGTCAGTATCTGCTGGCAAAGGACTGCACACATGACGAGTTTTCTGTCATAATTGAGAATGTACAAGTAAGCAACGTTTCAGATTTTAAAACATATCTAAAGATTCTTATTTTACCCAAATTGTGACAAACAACATCAGTTTTGTCATTCTCCTGTCACTGGTTGTATTTTATGGAAAGTTTTTGTTTGCTGTGTCAGTGTGCAGATGATCCAGAAGCTGTTTGCACGCGCTCAGTGACGCTCAGCCTGCCCTCTCTGGAGAACATGACCGTGAAGCTGAAGCATGGAGGACTTGTTTCTGTCAACAGTATGGATATCCAGACCCCAATGCATCATGGCAAGCCGTTTTAAAACTATACCTTTTTTAAAGTATTTGACCTTGCAATGACTCACGATTGAAAAACTATACAGATAAAATGAATGTTACACAAACATGCAGGTATTAATAAAGGAAAAGTAATAAATTTTGATGCTTTTCATTGCCCATTAGAAAAGCAAAGTGTTTTGTTTAAAAGTTTTCTTCTTTCTTATTTAAATAGCATGCCTCTTGTAAATGTAATCTTACAGGTCGCCTACAAATAACAAGATCTGCTCAGTCTTCTGTTCGAGTAAAGTTTGGTGATGACCTCCGTCTGGACTGGGACGGTCGAGGCCGCGTGCTTCTAAAGGTGAAACACATTTCAGAACCTTTTGTGGCTCATTAAACTGAGATCATAAAACAACACACCGCTCTGAATTCTGAAACTGTCCTCCTAGCTGGGGCCGCGATGGGCGGGGCAGACCTGTGGTCTCTGTGGGAACTACAATGGCAACAATGGTGACGACTTCCTGTCCAGTTGCGGACTGGTCGAGGCAAGTCCTCAGGCGTTTGGTCAAGCTTGGAGGATCAATGGAGATTGTGAATCCACATACAAGCATGAGCCTGATCCCTGCACCATTAACCCCAAAAGAGGTACAGTATCAACTGCAAAGTAGAAACAAAAATTAATAAATAAATTACAAACCGTCAACCTGTAATCCTTCGTGGTTTCAGTGCGTTTTGCAGAGGAGGCGTGCGCAGTGATGACGTCGGCCATATTCAGTCCATGCCACTTCCTGGTGAACCCGGGTCCGTTCCAGAGGTTTTGCCGTTATGATGTGTGTGCCTGTGAGGACGGCGAGGCGTGCCTGTGCTCTGCTCTGGCTGCTTACGCTGCTGCCTGCTCTGCACGGGGGGTGCTGCTCAACTGGAGGTCTCCTTCCCTCTGCGGTAACTCCGTTACACCTGACCAAGTGCTCACAGGAGTAAAACCAACATTTCGTTCCAGCCAGAGACCAATTTTAGGCAGATTAGTAAATGTTAGTTGTGCATTAGAAGTTTTGGGAGAATATGATCATCACTATACAACTGACTAGTTTTTTTTTTTAGCAATTGCAATCAAATATCTTAGTAGTAAAGCCTTTTGAAAAATCTTTACATGATTTTGTTTTCTATGATGGCTTTTGTTTAGCAGAGGAAATATAAAATTATGAGCACTTTAACTTAAGTTAAATAGGGTTAGATTTAGATCCAAATGAAGGTTATTAAAGGGGACATACCATGCAAAATCCATCTTTTTAGCCTTTAAATGCATTTTGCTGTGTATTTGGAATCTCTAAGAGTACAGAAAAGTTTAATTTAGTCTCTTCCAGTGTTGTGTAGATATTGTTATATTCTATTTGGGTCATATATTTCAACCCCTACAGTTTTCTATGACATTTCTGAACTACTGGTTAAGTTAGCTGCTCTGGAAGCTGGAGTGGGGCAGGTTGTGAAGTGGACTGGATTTAAAAAGACAACATCAAAACTAGTTGATCTAAAACATCTCAGAAAGGGGTGAAAGAGGGGCTGGAGTTACAATATCTGATAAATTTCTAACAAATTATTAATGTCACTGTTACACCAGGCTTTACAGCAAGAATTTTACCCAACTTATATAAGCATTTCTTTTAATTCAAATGTGTTGTAAATTTTCTAAACCCGGTCATTTAAAACAACAAAAAAAAAAAAAATGCCACCCTATTGTTTCTTTGTATTACCCAATGTAAGTGTTACAGAGACCAAAATCTAATCTGATCTGATCCTGTTGTGATGTGCTGACATCAGAGATGCCGTGCTCCAGAGGTCAGGTCTACGAGGCCTGCGGGAGTTCGTGTGATCGGACGTGCCGCTCTCTGTCCGAGCCCGAGCCCGGCTGCGAGGGGGAGAGGATGTGTGAGGAAGGCTGTTTCTGTCCTCCCGGGAAGTACCTCAGCGCCTCTGGAGAATGTGTGACGGCCGACTTGTGCTCCTGCCTGCACGACGGACAGATCTACCAGCCTAATGACGTCTATGCGGATCACAGCAGCATCTGGTTTGTGGCTGAGAATCAGCGTGCAGAAACGGTCCACAAATCACGCTGGGTTTTACCACTTCACTGCTTTCATCAATGTTTGTTTTTGTGACTTCAGCTACTGTGAGAACGGCTCCATGCACTGTAGCGCCCCTGAAATGTCTTCATTTCTGTCTGATCTCTTCTACGACGATGAAACGGTCCCATCCAGAGGTATAACTCTACTGTTTTAGATGAACTTTTATCGTTTGTAACTCATATTCACAAGTTATTTCTCCACTTGCCTTTATTGTTCTAATTCCAGATAAGCAGTATTCATCCTCCACCTAAATCTGTGTTTTTGCAGAGCGACGATCAGCCCAGTGCCCTCCTCCCCTTGTTCGTACAGAGTGTAATCCAGGTGAGAAGGGCCTGGAGTGTGCCAGAACCTGCCAGAACCTGGACCTTCCTTGTATCAGCCTCGCCTGCATCCCCGGCTGCCTCTGTCCACTAGGCACTGTGAGGGGTGTTTTTAACGTTTGTGAAACTGCACACGCTTCAGCTGCAGCAGTGCGACTGATCAATGGATTTGATTTCAGGTGCGTCACCGCAGAGACTGCATTACGCCGGAGCAGTGTCCCTGTTACCATAACAACAGGCCATACGCAGCAGGACAGACCATCAGCGTCGACTGCAACACCTGGTAAAACGACAGTTTGCACGTGAAGCAAAAAACACCAAAAGAGTTTACCTGACAGGTTGTGTGTTTCTGCAGCGTTTGTGAGAACAGGAAGTGGCGCTGCACGAAGAAGCTGTGTGACGGTGTGTGCCGCACTGTAGGGGAGGGGCATTACATCACATTTGATGGCCTCAAGTACTCCTTTCCTGGTCTTTGCCAATATGTCCTGGTCCAGGTATAATAATTAAAAAAAGTCCCAAAACCAGTTGCAGTGTTGATTACTCAATGGGATGATGTTTATGCATGTTTTTTTATGCTTTCTGACTGATAAGGACATGTGTCATGGTGAGGAGGGTTCCTTCAGAGTGTTGGTGGAAAATGAAGCCTGTGGTATTGTAGGCCATCGCTGTGCGAAAGCAGTCACAGTTTTCTACCAGGGTGGGCTGATTGTAATGCAACATGGAGAGGTAATACACAGAGCCTGAACTATTTAATATACACAGGTTATTAACTACTATTCACTTCTTATTACTTGTAAACCAGGAGTGCCCAAACATTTTCTCTTAGAGGGCCAAAATAAAAAATTCCCTGAGAGAGCCAAAATTAAAGTCAATCTGAGGGCCGCGGGCCAAACGCAAACGCAAATACTTAAAAAAATTGTTTTATTTTTTTATGATAAAGCTAGCAGCCAGTGTAGTTGCCTACATTATTTAGTTTTTTTTTTCAGCCCAGGAACATGGAGAAAATTCAACATATGCTCAGGCAGCAAAGACTCATGGGACTTTTCATAATTTAAAATTTGAGTATATGTGGTCTTATAAGGTGTGCAAATCTATATATGGGCTTAAATCTAATCTAAATGTCTCTTGTAGTTGTATTTTATATTTATTCTTAACATAATACAAGCAAGTAACTGGGACAACTGCTGGTGGGCCAAATTAAATGGCTCGGTGGGCCAATTTTGGCCTGCGGGCCCCACTTTGGGTACCTCTGTTGTAAACAAAGCCAAAACCTTTATTTTACTGTTAAACATGGGGATGTTTGTGGTTTTACATGAAAAATTACAATAAAAAACAGTCAGCTTCTGCCTTGCATATACAACCACAGGTGACGATGAAGAAGCCGGTGCCGCAGAGTTCCCAGGTGGAGATCATCCGATCCGGTCAGTTTTACACCCTTCTGCTGGGTAAACACATCTCCCTCAGCTGGGACAAAGGAACTCGCATCCTGGTCCACATCTCAGCTTCCTACAGGGTACTCATGTGTTGCACATTACTTTCTAATGTTTTTATAGAACCACACGTGTAAATTTGTGTCACCTTTATGGTGTAAAGGGGCGAGTGTGCGGTCTCTGCGGCAACTTTGACGGGAACATCAACAATGATTTGATGAGCAGCAACAACCAGCTGGAGGTGGACTCGTCACACTTTGGGAACTCCTGGAAGGTCGTTCCCAGCTGTGCTGATGTAACGGTGGTAATGTCAAGACATGTTTTTTTTTTCTAAATCTTTAAGCAAAAAAATGTTACTGTGTGGCATAGTTGTAAACGTGAGCTAAATGTTCATCATATTGTCCAAATTATTAATCCTGTAGTCATGTGTGTTTCGGGAATACTAGATACCATCTCCCTGTAGCGACAATATCATGAAGATGGTTACAGTGGAGCAGTCGTGTCGTGTGATTACTGGTCCCCTCTTCAAAGAATGCAACAGACAGGTAGGACAATATTAGTAAACCTGACATCCGATGACAAGTTTTCCCTTTGACCTTTCTGCTCTGTCTCCAGGTGGACGCAGAGCCCTATGTGGAGATGTGCATCGAGGCAGCGTGCTCGTGCTCCTCAATAGGCGACTGTGCGTGTTTCTGCGATGCGATTGCAGCCTACGCTCAGGCTTGCTCAGAGATGGGCCTGGCCGTTACCTGGAGATCCAATGATCTTTGTCGTAAGTGTGCAGGACTTCTTCAAGGCCGTTGTGAAAATGGCAGTAAACCACATCCTCTAAGCTGCCAAAACCAAAAGTTACAAAATGTCCCATTTAAATCAAAGCAGTAAAGATTATGAGGTAAGGTGCACAAGAATGCACAATGGCAGTCTGGGTAATGATGAAGCTTTGCTCCTTTTGGTATTCATCAGTTTTTTTTGTTTCAACTTTACTGTTGTCTCCATAGAGATTAATTATTTTTTTTATGCTTTTGAACATAATAGTCAAATGTAGAATCCTATTGTGCATCAGTGTCTATGACTAACTAGCTTCGTTTAAACTCCTAGCCATGAGCTGTGAGGAGCTGAACCCTAAGACCCCAGGTGTAGGAGAGGAGATATGCCAGTGGAGGTATAACACGTGTGGTCCTGCCTGTCCAGTCACCTGCCAGCACCCAGAGCCACTCCACTGTTCACTCACATGTGTGGAAGGCTGTCATGCCAACTGTCCTCCAGGTACCAAATATTGGACACACAACTGTCATAAAAGCGAAATATGCATGGAAACAACACAAGACAAACTAAACCAAAACACACATTTAAAATGAAGTTCCACCTGTTCTTCTTAGGTCAGCTTCTGGATGAGGTGGCTATGCGATGCGTAGATCCCTCTCAGTGTCAGGTGTGTATCCATGAGGGTCAGAGAATCTCCCATGGCAATAAGGTCATCCTGAACCATGATGACCCCAACCACTGTAAGATATGGTAATGATTATAACATTTGAAAGTTTGGATAATTTTGTTTAATGGAGCTTAAGGAATTGATTTGATGTTGTTGTCTTTGTCTTCTTCAAAGCCACTGTGAGAACAACACTCTGAGCTGTGAAGACTGCACTTCTCCCAGCCTGTTTTCCACACCCACACCCACGCCTCCTTATGGCACCTTCACCACCATGCCCTTCAGCACCTTGATGCCCGAGGGCACGTGTGATCGTGCCATGGATCTGGCTTTCCTACTGGATGGTTCAGAAGCCCTAACCGAAGATGAATTTCAGGCCACAAAAGAGTTCATACTAGGAGTGGTGGAGCGGTTCCGGATGGGTTCAGCTCACACTCGAGCCACAGTGCTGCTTTATCACTCTGGGGTTAAAACATATGAACTGCAGGTATGTTAAATACAAGTGTGACCAAGCAAACATTAATACATGCTCTCAGTGTAATGAAAATCTAGTCTTATAACAGGGTTCCTGCGGATCCTTAAAAAGTCTTAAAAGGCCTTGAATTTATCAATCCAAAATTAAGGCTTTAATTAGCTTAAAATGTCTTAAATCAGTCTTTCAGATGTCTTAAAAATGTTAACACATTGTACCTAGGATGATTGTAATTCATCTCAAATATTAAAATAATTGGTAATTTTTTTTAATATTCACATGCAGAAATTCCCCTTTGACATCACTTCCTGTTATTTCACATGCAAATATCTCAACTGTTCATTTGAGCAACGTGAAATTTCTTTTGTAATATGTTAATAATGTTGTCTTTCCAAAAATGCATTCACTTTTCTTACAAAAAATTGATGTCACGGGCAATTTAATATTTCATCTACAGCAAATTGGGGTTAAGACCCCACTGTGGGTCCTAAAACTCCAAATTTTGGGTTGTTAGAGGATTTCCTGAAACTAAATTAAGTTTAAAACTGACTGCTAAGAATGTTTCTGCTATAGTTAGATATGGATAAAAACAATTGGTCTATTAGCGATATTTCAATACTTCAACCAAAAATACTTTGATTCATGAGTTTCTGCCTGTTTTAATTTTTTTGTCATTTGTGTTTATTATGAAATTGGTCTTAAATTTAACTTCATTTGGCATTAAAAAGTCTTAAAAAGTCTTAAATTTAACTTGCTTTAAACTATCGGAACCCTGTATAATAATGTAAAAAAAGGACAAAAAATAAGAAGGAATATGCAAAAACAAATTCCAAACAGAGTAAATGAAATACATTTACGATTAAATGGCCCTAATTGACCCCTATAGACTTGCACTCTTCATTATGATGCTGTTGAAATTACCTTGCAGATAAAGATCTACATTATTAACTCTCTAGATAAATTTGACTTGCTATATTATGTCCCCCTGGTGCTGTAGTCCAACAACAATGTTATCTAATAAAAAAAACTTGTGCTAACTAAACATGTAGTTGCCAAAATATGAATTGTTGGACAAAGCATTGTTCTAACTAAAAAAAACATTTGGTTCTGACCTTGACGCTACATGGTACAGGAAAGAATTCATGCTTTGGTACCTGAGCTTCCTTTTCTTTTGTTCTTTTTTATGGGCGCAGGTCCAAAAGTGGCTGTTAAAGAAGACTGTGCGTGAGCTTCACTACACAGGTGGAGAAGCAGCCTTCCTGGACGAGGCTGTCAAGTATCTGGCCATCAACATCTACGACAAGAACAAGCGAGAGCACGCTGGTCGCGTTGCCATTATCTTGACGGCCAGCAGTAACCCCCGTCCCGTTCGTTCCATTGTCAAGATGATTCGTAAGAAAGCTATCACCACTTTGACAGTGGCTTTAGGTCCAGGTGTGGACATGAGGCAAATTAATGACATCACTGCCGCCAACCCAGATAACAGGGCCTACGTGCTGAGCAGCACAGGAGAGCTTCCTGAACGCCTGTTAGAAATAATAGATTACCTCTGCACTTTGGGGATGGAGCCTGAGGGGCCAAAATTGCCAAAACCTCCAAAAGCAATGCAGATCAAAACCACAACCACCCCAGTAACAGCATCACATGTACAGCCAAATCATCTTCTCCCCATCTCCCCCGCTTCCACTACATCCTCTACCCTGGCACCTGTTGCCACCCTGCCTTCCTACCGCCCTCCAGCCACAGATGTGACATTCATCCTGGAAGGCTCTGACGCTGTCGGCGAAACCAACTTCAACAAGTCTCTAATCTTCCTGGAAGAAGTTATATCACAGCTGACGGAAGAGAAAGAGTTCGTTCGCATCACCGTGATTCAATACTCCGTGACGGTCACTGTGGAGATCCGTCGCTGGGAGCTACGGCAGCAGAGGTACGAGTTGATGCAAAGACTGCGGGAGATTCGTTGGAGAGGCGGAAGTAAGACAAACACCGGAGCGGCTGTCAGCATGACCACAGAAATCACTACAACCCAACCATCGAGCAGTCCCACCCCGCCTCAGCTCGTCTTTCTGGTGACAGAAAACCCACCTACTGATACAGTGATGCGTCCACCAACCACAAGCACCCAAACACAAGTGTATCCTATAGGTGTTGGACCAAAGGTACGTGAAATGGACTTGCTATCATTCAGCTTCCCTCACCAACCAATGATGGTGAATGACTACAACCAACTGACAACGCTGGTACACCGTGTCATCAACATCACGAAAACCACAGTCAGACCCCGATCGCCTACACTACCACCTCTGGTCCTCCCATCACACCCCACCCTTCCACCAACAGGTAAACTGTCCAACTGTTAGTTAATTCAGTACGAGTCCATAACCCATGCTGATATGTAAAACTGCAATCAAACAGTGCCGTGTAAGAAGCCTGTGGATGTGCTGTTCCTGTTGAAGGCTGGAAATCAGTTTGAGGATGTGAAGACGTTTGTCAAAGCTTTCATCGATCATTCTGAAATAGGTGGGTGTGACTGAGCCTTTCAGACTAGTATTAAAATGTAATGTGCACTTTTTATTATCGTGTTATTGTTTCCACATGGTTCTTGTTATTCTGTCTCCTGCTGTTAAAAATTAGCATAGAGGTGGAGGACCCATAGAGTATGAAAGCAGGTGGCAAGCAGATTACAAAACTAAACATAAAAATGTTTAGGAGTAAAAAGAATGCAAGGCATCCAGATACAGCCACACACTTTCAATTTTAGTTCATACCAGTGGCAGATCTGGTATATTTCTGAGTAAGGGGCCGTCAAGGGGACACACAATATCCATAGAGGGGCCAAGTATTTCTTCATCATCCTTGCACACAAACCCCTGGTTTTGGTAAGGTGTATATACAGTATTTAACTAGTGACACATTTAAACACTTGTAAAAAGCTTACACAGTAAATTCTCCTTATCAATTTCACAATAATTTTTACTGTACATAGATAAAATACTCTAAAACACACAGCATGTGAGAGAATCCAGTCATCATTTGTGAGCTGAAAGACTTTTTCTGCAGGATTGTTCAAATTTTAAGAAAAGAAAAAGACTTCTGTCTGCTTGATTCATGCTGGACCTTTCTATTGGTCTCATTGGCGCCTCTAGTGTTTGGACATGGAACTGCATCCACCATCATTGCTCACAGACAGATGAGTGGCAGGACAGGGGCCCTGCAGGGGGCCAAACAAATTTCAGCTGGGGCCTGGGGCCAATGACCCTGCGGCCCCACCCCTAGAACTGCCCCTGGTTCATACACAATGATTTAGTTATACCTTTTTTGCACTTTTTCTTTTTTTTTTTTTGGGGGGGGGTGGATTCAAATCTACATGTTTTACTAAGACTCAACTGTTTCATATTGTAATATCCAGTTAGTTAGTTAGTAATACAACCCAAAAAAATACAGTATGCTTACTCATTTGACTTAGATCATAGATCTTTTTTAGTTGTTTTTTTTTGTTGTTGTTATTATTCTTGGGGAAAAATGGGCAGATATTATAAGACTTTTTTCTTCTCTCTGCTACAGTTCATTTAATTTTATTTGTCATTTTGACACACACACACACACACACACACACACACACACACACACACACACACACA